TTTTTTTTTGCGGCAGAGCTCAAAGAAAGCAACTAGCTGAAACCCATGCGGACTAGCTCCTGACTTCCATGCTCCCGCTAACATAATCCATTATAGTGACTACTGTCTAAAAAGTTACTCCTGGCAAGAAGTGTGATGCTAGTGACTGATTTGTATGAGAAAACATGGACATGATAGCATGACAATTTGCAATGGAACAATTGCAATCTGAAACTACAAATAAAGTATGATCAGCATTTACTGGTTTGAGTTGTGGTTGATGTTTCTCAGTGGTTTGTACAGGCTTTTCTGTGACAGTGATAGCATGTGCGCCATAGTAGAGAACGCCTTGTAATAATTGATCAAATCACAATGTCAATCCTTGCATTTTGAACTGTTTTGTGCCTGTAAAACAGCACAGCTGAAACAGTAGAAAACAAATATCTGGCAAGCAAAAAAACTAATTATTTTCAGGGCTGCATAGCCTAAATAGGCATTGCAAAAAAGAAAAATGAACAAAGTAACAATATATCCCTAAACAATAACAAAGATGTTCAAAAACAAAACTGTAACATTTTCTAAAGGACTATGTAGCCTTCTTTATATGTTACACATGCGAGGCTTTTCTGTGGGCAAACGACACCATCAATAGGGCCTACCAATCTATGAACACATCATATCTATAATATTTTAAACACGTGACAGTTGACCAAAATTACCATAGTACAGTGATGGTATCAGATAGCAAGCGTCACCTGTAGATTTTAAAAATACTGCTTTTTTCAATTGACTGTAGGTAAGTATTCACTTAATCCAGTATCCAGAGGTAGATCAGTAGATCAGAGGAAGACCACTTCAAACGAGTTGGAAACGATTTGATCTGTTCGATTCAGACCGAATCGCGATTCGTGAACAATCCATATTAGAGCCGACTCTAAATTCATGTAGGAATCTGAAAATGTAGAGAGCAATTCCGCCGCTAGGTGTCAGAAATGGGCTTAACCAAAGTGAACTAATACCTGCAAAGAGCGACAGTATATTCTGTTCACATTAATCTCAATAGCAAGGAGTGGCTAGATGCTTTCTCCAGGTATTATACAGAAATAAAAAAATCCTTAATTAATTATTTTATTATTATTTATTATTTTATTTAATTAATTAATTACTGTTTATTATATCTATTTTGCCAACAAAAATCAGGCACTGGTGAATTATCAGCTATAATAAAATGTAATATATATTAAAATACATATTTAAACTTATGGATACCATTTTTTATTCACACCTGTTTTAATTATTATTAGAACAAATTAAATGTTAATTAATCAATCCACAATAATGCCCTTTTAAACAAACATCATGCAATATATCAAAGACTACCAAGCTACCTCATTTACATTCTGAGTGGTGTGACCATCTTTCCATCCGTTGTTCTCTGAAACAATCTCTCTGGTCAGATGCCACAGCACATTTCTGCCATTAGTGGTTCATAAGTGCTATATGTGGTCATAAACAACCATCAGCAGCAGTGAAAAACAGGATGTAGTTAACAGCCACTGAACATAATGTCTAA